TTGATCTAGTCTTTGAGAACTTCAGGCCCGTCAGTAACCTGTCATTCGTTTCTAAAGCTACGGAAAAAGCAGTTGTTAGCCAGTTATTTGAGCATTGTGCTGATAATGCTCCTCTTCCTAACAACCAATCGTCATATCGTCAATTTCACTCTACCGAAACAGCTCTCCTAAGAGTCCACAATGATATCCCTATGAACATGGACCAACAGAAAGTAACTCTTTTAGTGCTCTTGGATTTGAGTGCCGCCTTTGACACCATTGATCATGAAATTCTGATGGATATATTGAAGTTAGAATTTGGTGTGATCGGAAATGCCTTAAAGTGGATTAAATCGTTTCTTTCCTGTAGAAAGCAGCGTATTAATATTAAGCAAAAGTTTTCCGCCAATTTTACGTTGAACTGTGGAGTACCACAAGGAAGCTGTCTTGGACCGGTCCTTTTCCTATTATACGTGTCTCAACTGTTCCAGATTATTAACAGGCACTTACCTTCTTCCCATGGGTATGCAGATGACACTCAACTTTATTTATCTTTCCGTCCTGAGTCACCCGTTGTCCAAGACCAAGCTATTCAAACTATTAATGATTGCATCGTCGAAGTTCGTGCTTGGTTAGTTTCACATAAATTAATGTTCAATGACACTAAAACGGAATTCTTGATAATTCGAACTCGCCAGCAGCTGTCTAAGGTTACAATCGACTCGATTGAAGTTGGTGATGCTGATATAAAACCTGTACAAGAAGTCCGAAATCTAGGTTCGTGGTTTTACGAACATATGTCGATGAATGTCCATGTGGGCAAGGTTTGCAGCAAAGCATTTAGGGGCTTGTACAACATCCGACAAATAAGGAAGTTTCTCTCCATCGAATCAACTAAAACGCTCGTACATGCCTTTGTGACGTCACACTTGGACTACTGCAATTCTCTCTTGTTCGGCATTCCCCAATACCAACTTCAGCGTCTTCAACGAGTTCTCAATGCCGCTGCTAGAGTGACGTGTCTTATACCAAGATGTGCTCATATTACCCCTGTCCGGATGCACCTTCACTGGCTGCCTGTCAAGTTTCGCGTTGATTTTAAAATTGCACTTCTGGTATATAAAGCTCTCCACGGGATGGCGCCAGGCTACATTATGGAACTGTTGTTAGAAAAACCGAACTGCTGTTACCAACTGAGATCTGATGATCAGGGACTACTTTTTCTCCCAAAAACTAGAGCCAAGACTCTTGGTGATCGAGCATTTGTGCATGCAGCTCCGTCAATTTGGAACATGCTACCTTCTGGTATTAGAAATAGTAAAACAATTGACTGTTTTAAATCTCAATTAAAGACTTTCCTTTTTAATTTAAGAAAGCTTTCGATTCTAACTTTTAGATTTATAGACACCTATACCTTAATTCTTAATATTTTAGCTACTTGTATATAGTATAACTTCATTGTTGTAAAGCGCTTTGGAATATTTTATATAATTTAAGCGCTGTATAAATCTTTATATATTATTATTATTTATTATTCTCTGCATGCCATCTCTTTATCTCCTAAAACATTGGATCATATATATATATATATATATATATATATATATATATATATATATATATATATATATATATATATATATATATATATATATATATATATATTTCTATATTGCTTGTACAGGGCTTGAAATAACACCGATCGATGATCGGCAAGAAATTGCTTATGATCGGCGGAAAAGCAGGGTTGCCGATCACCATGTCCATGATCGGAAACTTTGGGAACGTTATTTCAAGCCCTGCTTTTAATTGGTTTATTCTTGTGACTACTGACTAATTACAAGATGTAAGGTGTAGTTCTTGTCATGATGATACAGGGGGTGTAGAAGGTGAATATTGAATACTGGGTTTTCAAATAGTGTGAATATTGATGTAGGAATACTTGAAACATAAATTGGAATATGACTATCCCCTCCCCTCCTGTCCGTCAACAGGTTTTTTAGGAATTTTTAAAGTAGGAAATACAATATGAATTTTAGAGTAAGGAATATTAACAATTTAAGAAAAATATTCCTCTTCCATCCCCAATGGTTTACTTGCTGTTTTTGATTGCTTTCAAATCAAATGCATGGCCTGCATGTGCTAGTATATGTAGCGACGATAAGAAGACGCAGATACCACTACCTGAACAATATTAAACCATTCTTATTTTTTATTCTTATTATTCTTATTTATTATTCTTATTTATTATTCTTATTTATTATTCTTATTTATTATTCTTATTTATTATTATTATTTATTATTATTATTTATTATTATTATTTATTATCTATCACTTATTTACTGAGACCGAGGGAAACAGTGTGCACACCGCTTTCCCGAGGTCTCAGTAAATAAGTGTTTTGTTATACAGTATATAAGTGTCAAAGTATGAATAATTCACCGGTTATTGGAGTGAACTTAATTTGAAACCAAAACTGGATAAATGGAACGCCTTACATAAATGTGTAGTAAAAAGTTTAAAAAATGAACTTTGGAACTTCATGGTTGACACGCATGCCTATTGCACCCATTTTATTATTGACTGGTCAATAAATGTTTGATTGCGGACCGATTGCCGAGCATAACGTTTTGTGGACCGGCACGTGACACGGTTTTGACCAATCGGCAAACAGAAAAATTGAACTTTGACACTAACTATATAACAATCTTATTTATTATTCTTATTTATTATTCTTATTTATTATTCTTATATATTATTCTTATTTATTTTTCTTATTTATTATTCTTATTTATTATTATTAAATACAAGCGATGTTTCGAGTGAAAAGTGTACATTCAGACGAAGGGTCTTCACTCAAAAGCTCGAAGTTCTGCTTGTGTTTTCAGCTGGTTGTGTCTCAAACTGCAGCTGTATTTACAATCCAAGTCATATTTTATGTTATTAAATTATTATATATTTCTTATTAGGGCTGAACTAGAGAAACATGGATACAAAGTTGATCAACCAGAATCAATGAAAACATAATCATTGGAATGAGACACTAAAGACATCATAGTTGTATAGTAGTTATTTCTTATAAATTATGATTTTCAGTTGTGTTGTTGTATTATTTTGTTTACAGTGTAGACTGTATATACATGCATGTTTGGTCAGCTATGCAACATGACCTCATGTCAGAGTCATTTTATGAAACAATATCATGAAAACAACGTTTATTACTTGCATTTCATGATCCTTCTGGCTTAACAGGTAATTTATTAATAGCTGTAAGAAATGGTTGACAATGCCCTCGCCAGCTGACGTTTTAAACCGATTCATATATTAGATGACCTAACAGCCACATAACGTTGAGTAGTTTCATGTTGTTTTGGTTCATCTACCAATAGTTCTTAAGTAAAGCTGTTCACTCATATTTCCTTTTTGTATACGAGCTTTTAGCCCATTTAGCAGAATTGCACGATAGATCACATATCAGTCACAAAGACTTTTAATTCCAAGAATGAAATCATTGTAATGATATCAATGACACAGAATACTAGATTTCCTCGAATATTGCACAACATGTCAACAGCTTATATTGGACAATAGGCAACTGCCCTCCAGAGAAAATTTAATTTACTAATTTTATAATGTTATTATAAATTATTAAGCCAAATGGCATTTATTATCTTGTGAACCAGAATGTATGATTCTGTATGGAGCGGCCATAAGCATGTATCTAACTGATATGACTTTGGATGTATTGAGATTTGGGTACTTATTTCAGCATACAGGTATCACCCCTGGTGAAAAATTCTGCGTACGGCTTGCTTCCTAGAAATGGTAAAACGTCCAAGAAAATGTTAAACTGTCACGTTCGTGGTAAACAAAATAATATCGAGAAAATCCACTTTGACATGTATAGGCAGACAATATCTTTATTATGAGTAATTATTTAGAAAGCGAAGCTGTATTTGTAGGTTATTTATAGGAAATGCAAATTTCGCTTTTGCTACTAAGCCTGACGTAATCGTGGAAGAAACTTGCCGTCAAATGGGAATCCCCTCTTGAGTCACAGTCCCATTTCTAAGAACAGCTTTAGACATAAATTGTAGCATTCGGAAACAGAGCGAGCAGAAAGCGACTTTCATTCCCACAGTAAAGACAAGTTGATCATAACAATGTCGTCCAGCAGCAGCAGTAGCAGGTATGTGTTCCATTATTGAGTTTTTGTAATGTTAACCTTAGTGTCAGAACATCTACAATCGTTTCCCACGGCCTTACTCCTTTCAACAAAGAAGTGAATGTAATTCCCTAACCACTGTGTTGTTTTGAAATCGCAAGATTTGCTTCGAGGGTATGCGAGTTTAAATCCCTCTCGAGTCAACAATGCATGTCTTGGTTTTGACATGAAATTATTTCATACTAAAAAAATACAGCTTATAAAAGCTTATAACTTATGTAGATAATTTTCAATTTGTCCAAACACACTTCTATTAACTGTGATCCAAATCACGTGCAAAATGTTTAAGAAATAATAGTTTACTCATTTTTCGTCACGTCTGATTTTCAAAGCTGTTTTATACAAAACATGCATTTCCTACAACATTTGAGTTAAGAGTATTCTTTCAGCTTCCATTAAATGGCATGGAGCTACCTTAACTTTACTGTAATTTAGTAATCAAAATTCTGCTTAAATTCTTCGACATTTAAAATAAATCCATCTTCAAGTGACTATACTACCGCAAGAAATTCCTGATACACAATTCCTCGTCGTCTTTTCATACAAAAGAGAGTTTGGCAACGTCAGATAACAACATTTTTGTATGCGAACTATAAAGCATACATTACTGATCTTTATTTTCCTATTAAAAGTACTTATCCTTCTTTTGAACAAAACACTCCACACGACTTTGAACGTTTGACTGTTGCCCCGTGTTGGTGTAGTTACGAGCCGTGAAAATGATGTAAATAGCCATAGAAATAATATTTCTATGTAAATTACGTTTGAACAATTACGACGTACCAGAATGTTCAAGAGAATATAAATTATAGTCGCCATTGTCTTCATGGACCTTGGCGTTGTATTTGCGAAACTCGATTTTATGTATACAGGGTGTATCAAAAAAAGCGCAACCTTGGAATTTCCCAAGAAATCGACATTGTTTTAAAGACAAAAGATTTTAGGCGCCTGGGAATTTAAAATAGCACAACTGTCAAAATTACTGCACACGCGAGTGCATAAAGCAAAATTTATGCATTTATTTAATGCACAACAACAGTAATATGATCTATTAGCAATTGGATTTCAATTCCCAGGGGCCTAAAATCTTTTATGCTTAAGAATTGCAAAGTGATTTCTTAGGAAATTCCGAGGTTGCGTTTTTTTTTATACACCCTGTACATCACACGACGTTCCCAGAATTCCTAATAGGATAGGTGCATTAGCATACGTAAGTAAACTTAGTATTACTGACAAGAGAATTCGCAACTCATAATTCACTTATACATGAATTGTTAGTAAATGTTTTGCTAATTTATCTTAGGGACTGGTCTTTATGTAACTGCTAGGGTGGGCTGGAGGTAAATCACAAATTTTGCCAATAAGTTCGGTGACCCATCTTAGGATGTAGATAAAAATTTCAAAGCCCATCTAATTTTACAAAAAAAAATTCATGACCCATCCAATCTAAATCGGGAAAATACACTATTATAATAAAAAAATCTTGCAGGTATGAACATTGTAAATATACATGCACGGCACTGTATTTACATACACAATTCCACCAAGCTTGACAAACAC